GGGGTAGGACTAGATAAGTCTAACTTCTTCCTACTCCATTCAAGCATGTACTAGGTATAAGCAAATTGATAATATATTTGTGGATATGTGTGGAATTATGTGTGTTGACATATTGACTGTTGTTACATGTTTGAAAGAATAAATCAAATCAAAATCAAATCAAATCAATCAAAATCAAACTTGTAACTTTTACCGTGAAATCTGCTTTTATTTCTGATGCTTTTGTTTGTTATAATAATAACTTCAGAAATCTGTCTGTCTACATGTGCAGGCTGAGCTTGACTAACATTGCCATGAACATCCACTGACATGAATGTGCAATAGAACAATGCAGTATAGCTCTACTCACAGATGTTAATGGAGTCTTGTTAGTAGCAGATTCCCTGCAGCACAGCAAAGTATGTTGAATAAGCCTTCTAATTATAAATTCATCATCTGAAAGAAGAGCAAACAAATGATGGAGACAACTCCTGGGCTTCTGTCCACACTCACATCTCTGTGCCAAATGACAGTCTGGCTACAGTAAAACAAGGTCCAGTGTATTTTGCTGGATGTTTGATACACTTGCAGCCCTGTGACAGGTGCAATGGGACAAAAATGAGAGATGTGTGTGAGGACAGTTACCTAGATCTGAAGGGAAAAATGAGTAACCTCAAGGGTTTTAATATTTGATTGTTAGAGAGCAACAGAAAATCCCATGCACACACCATTGATCCTGTGGCTGGACGATTACCTCAGAGCTGTCTGGGGCTGGTTCTCTTCTCTGTGGAACGTGAAGCTAAACAAACAGGCTGGTACTGAAAATAGAGGGGGAACCTCTTAGAAGTGGGACATTTTATACATAAAATACAATTTTCCATAGCCATTCATTTTAACAGGTTTCAGAATGGCTATCACATAAAGATGAAAATGGCAAAGAAGAATCTAAAATGCTAAAAGGTGTTGCATCTACAGTATCTATTTGTCTAATTTGACATACTGTATGAATCTCAGTTGACATGTTTCAAAGAAACGCTGCCACCTCCTGGAGCTGAGAGTCAACATGGCCATGAAAACAACATACTTTGTGTATAATATAACATAAAAACAATCTGTGGTTAAAGACTGGATGGTGTGCAAGAATTAAGTTTGAAGTAAAAGTATTACCAGTAAAATGTACTTAGAGTATCAACAATAAAACAAAAAGTGCTTGTCACTGTTATCTATTTATCATTTACATTATTGGATGATACAGGAAGCAGATTTTTTTAGGTTGCAGGTAGGAAACAGTATAGAAAGTAAAGAAAATTTTAATTTTAAAAGCTATTGGGTAGAAGTAGCATAAAATCAAAATATTGAAGTGCAAATACTGCACATATAGGACTTGAGTAAATGTACTTTCCAGCACTGAAATCTGAAAAGATAAATAGCCAATCAGGACACCAATACTTACATTATATCAGACTTTTAATATGAATTTACAGAGTTTGTTTGTGTCTGTATTTTCAATGCAGACATCTAATGTGCTAACACAGAAGAATGCAGAGGTCAGTCGCATCCTTAAAGCTTTATTTCACAGATCCCCTGTAACAGGAGGCCTAGGCAGCCAGGCTCATCATACATTTACATCCACTGTCTGTGGCCAGTCCGTACAATGCTCCCCATGTTAAATAACTCAGTAATTCAAGACAAAAACTACAAACACACACGCACATTGCTCAACTTAATAACAATATTATAATGACGGTAATAATAACAACCATTGTCAAATATTATCTATTTCCAAGGTTTTATACTGAATTTTCTAAAATCTGTTACACAGTCAGTCATCTTTAAGATGCACCATAAAATCTGCATGTGACATTTCAATAAAACAAATGCTGCACCATAACACGCGGTGAAGACAGAGAATACTGGTTGCATTTTTAAAAAAGATATTTCAATGAGTATTTATTTTTTCAGGCAGCGTTCACCTCCTCCTCTTTGTCCAGATACTGTAAAGGTGAATTCAGCGCAGTTCATTTTCTTTGTTTGGCACACTGTTTTCATAAGCCGCTGTGGTGGGGCATGAATCTCATAGCTCAAGCAGAGACATAAGGGGTCTCCACGGACGTGTGGGGACTCACAGGACCTCTGCTGGGAGACAGAGAACAGAGGTGAGACAGAGGAAAACATTGTGCTTAATAATTAAGACATGTTAAATACTGAAGTTTTTATTCTCGTCTGCACTGAAAGTGCTATTTTCTGATTTCAAGTCCACTCATAAAGCTTCATAACTCTCAAAAATAACTACACCAGATAAACGAAAGATACCCTGTTACCGCTAGGCATCATTTAATGTTGCTACCAAGATGTTTTCCTTTTATGTTACAGCAGAATTAACACAGTAAGTTTGGCTGATATTTGCAAGGGGACATCATTTTTTCCTTATTTTACATTTGTAAACATGGATCAGCCTCAACATTAAAACCACCTGCCAAGTATTGTGTAGGTCCACCTTGTTCTGCCAGAACAGCTCTAACCCGTTGAGGCATGGACTCCACAAGACCTCTGAAGGTGTCCTCTGGTATCTGGCATCAAGACGTCATCAACAGATCCTTCAAGTCCTGTAAGCTGTGAGGTGAGGCCTCCATATCTTGGATTTGTTTTTCCAGCACATCCCACAGATGCTCAACTGGATTGAGATCTGGGGAGTTTGGAGGCCAAGTCAACACCTTGAATTCGCTGTCATGTTCCTCAAACCATTCCTGAACACTTTTTGCAGTGTAGCAGGGAGCATCACCCTGCTGAAAGAAGCCACTGCCATCAGGAAATACTTTAGCCATGAAGGGGTGTACTTGGTCAGCAACAATGTTTAGGTAGGTGGTACGTGTCAAAGTAATATCTACACGAATGACAGGACCCAAGGTTTCCCAACAGAACATTGCCCAGATCATCACACTGTCTCCACGAGCTTGCCACCTTCCCGTGGTGCTTCCTGGTGTCAACTCTTCCTCAGGTAATCGACGCACGTGCACCTGGCCATCCACATGATGTAAAAGAAAATGTGACTCACTGGACCAGGCCACCTTCTTCCATTTCTCCATGGTCCAGTTCTGATGCTCACGTGCCCATTGTAGGCGCTTCTGGTGGAGGACAGGGGTCAGCACGGGCAGTCTGACTGGTCTGCGGCTACACAGTCCCATACGGAGTAAGCTGCGATGTACTGTGTGTTCTGACACTTTTCTATCAGAATCAGCATTAAGTTTTCCAGATATCTGTGCTACAGTAGCTCTTCTGTGGGACTGGACCAGACGGACTAGCCTTCCCTGCCCACTTGTATCACTGTTTGTCCTTTCTTAGACAAGTACTGTCCACTGCAGACCAGGAACACTCAACAAGGCCTGCAGTTTAGGAGATGTTCTGACCCAGTTGTCACAATTTGACTCTTGTCTAAGTCAAATTCTTTTTACTTTCCCATTTTTCTTGTTTCCAACACATCAACTTTAAGAATAATTATTCTCCTTTTAGCCCAAACTCTATATTTAGTCAAGTTTACTTGAAAAGCATTCTCATACAAAAACAATAAAGAAAATCTAAATCTAATTTATTTTTTGTCCATGATTAATTTAGCTACAGCACAACACTCTGCTCCATCACCACAGTCTTATGTGGCCTTGATACTCTACCTGCAACATGCTGAGACTTCATAGGGCCTGTTTTCATCAGGAAGGGCTCTCCACCCTCGAAAGCCAGGATCGGCTCGCCGACCAGCCCACTCTGTTGTTGACCAGGGTTACTGCTGTTCAGCTGGATGATCTCCTCAAAGTCAGCTGCGTCTCCATTGACTGAGACACCGTTTTGATGAGTCGTCAACTGGACACCATTTACAGCAGGACCTGACACACCCTGTGATGGGCTGAGGGCTGGTGCACTGGGGGCTGCAGAAGAATGTATTAATGAACATATAAGCATGATCTTTAGCAACGTGGCTGCTTAAAGACATCGCAGTCATTATGATAAGAGTTACCTTTACTGAGCTCTGTGTCCTTTCCGTTGACCTGTGGAGAGGCCTTGACATCCTTCTGTGATTATAAACAAAACGGTTCTGTTAATTCAACACAACAAGAGGTTTCGTTTCTTCAAGCCTGTTTAAAATGAATCCTACTCACCTTATCTCCTGCATCACTCTTCCGAGTCCTCTTCATGATCTCCTCGAGGCGCTGTGCAGATCAGACGGAGACATTCAGTAAGCTAGCTGCTGATGTTTACAGGTGTGAACTGTGCCCTGTGTGATTTTCTGAACCCCGAAGATGTTGATTTTCTCTCTTTCTCCTCACCTTCCTCCGCTCCAGCCGCTCCTGTTCTTCTTTCTGGAAGTGTTTCTCCCTCTCCAGGCGCTGACGCTCGGCCTCCTCACGGGCTTTGGCTTCAGCCTCCTCCCTCTGAAAAACCCCCCCAAAAATAACTATATTAGAATAAAACTAAATAAGATCCAAGTTTATATTTCAAATGATGAAGTCCAGTAACTGCTGTTCATACTTGAGATGCACCCATCAGATATTCTGGATAAGCTGTGTCAGTACAGTTCACTGTAAAATTGCTGCAAAAATATGTAAATAAACAACTTTGACATATTTATTTGTTTTGTTGAAGAGCCACATACTTCATATGAGTGAATGTGCTGTAATGGAAAACAACCACCAGGGGCAGCACACGCCCGGTCTGCTATGCAGGCTTCAGGCCAGGTTTGAAATTATTAAGTACATGTTTCACAGGATATTTTGACTCAGCACCAAACCAAACAGATGTTTTAAAGTGTGCAATGAAAACAAAATTATTAAGTGTGCATAATTTGCATCTGTCAGTAGCAAAACAGCTGCAGCCTGCTGTCTTTACAATCTTCCATTTCACACAATTAACCACAGACTTGATCTATTTGACACAAATCTTAAACAGTCACACACATTTTCTGGCAGTTTGTACTGCGGAAAGAACAACACTTAAATTAATGTGAAATCCAAAAAATATGAGGCTGCTCTAGTCTTGAGTGAATGAACTGTCAGGGTGGAACAATGGTCCAATTGAGGGTAAAAGTGGAATCAGGCATAGCTGAATGCTCGGGGCACTGACACTGCTTATCCAGCAACTATCAGCCCACTGCAGGGCCCAGTGTATGAGAAAGAGGCAACACAGGGTTGTCACTATCTCCTCGATTACAATGGCACTCTCAGTCTCTGCTCATCACCACTATAGAGGTCACCAGCTGGCATCTGCCCGGGCGCACAAGAGGCCTCTGACAAGTAGGGCTCAAGCATGACACACATCGTCCGTGACAGCAGCTCATACTCTGTAATTTGAATCTGCCCAGATGCCAGACAGTCGGGGGAGAGGGAGTCAGACAGAGGCCCCCAACCCAACAGTTCCTATGCATTAAACTGCCCAGATGGTAAATGGGTTTGCTGTGTGTGGGGATCACAGGGATTTCTGGTGGTTAACAGAAACTTAAAAAGTTTTTAGTGACTAGAGTATTTATAGTTAGGTGATGTCTGTCTCACTGATAGCAGACTGGATTTAGAACAGGGCTGAGGGTTTGATCAGTAGATTTTAATTTCATGCCACTGAAATTACGGAGTCAAAATTTAGCAGGTTATCAGTCGTAACACTGGTCCAAGTTATATAAACTGTAATAGAGGTGCTATGTTTTTGTCACAATCTTATTTTTAGCAATTTATTTATAGGAACAGTTCGGCATGGGCAATATGCTTAATCATATTAAAAAGTTTGATGAGCACACCACATTATGATATTAGTGAAGTTTGTACAATTAATGTAAATTTTATCTAGAGCGTTAGAGGTGGACTGCCCTAAGGTTACAGTTTATATTAAAGTTTATATTTGCTTTTTTTAAATGCTGAATTACAAGTACGCACCTATATTACTGTCAGTTTTTACTGCACATAGGTGACAAAGGAACAATGTGGCGCTTGTAAGATGTAGATAAGTCTGCAAATTGTGGAATGAAACAAGCTTTTGACTGCCTAGTGACCAGTACATACATCAAACCATTGATGAATCAGACTGAAATGTAATGCTTTTTGATGCTGTGACCTAAACCTTCAATTAAATCCTCATTCACCAGTTTCCTTGCCTCCTGGACTTGTGGGTAAGCTGGTTTAATTAAAAGGGACACCTAGATAAAACAGCCTCCATAACTGTTTTGACAACTCCTGTCGTCAAAGACGAGAATGAATGTTCAGTCTCGTCCACCAAATCTCATCTTTGGTTTGTTGACCTGTCTCTGCAGCCTCTCGTTCTCCTCCTGCTCGGCTTTGGCTCTCTGCTGCGCCTCCTTCTCCTCTTGAGCTCGCTGGGCTTCGTCTCTCAGATGCTGCTGCTCGGCCATGAATCGAGCTTCCTCCTCTCTGCGCTTCCTCTCCTCGGCCTCCCGGGCCATCGCCTCCTCCCGTAGGATCCTAAAAGCGCGTACAGTATGTGTATTGGCAGGAAGATCAGCAGGATGTGGGCTTTTAAATCAAATCACAGACATTCTCTGAAGAACAGCAGATACAGTAAGTGATCGGTGATGATCCCAGAGTGATTTGGGATTTCACCCCTGATATCATTTTTCTTAACTCTTCTTTGTTGGGTCCATACCTGAGATGGCTTTTGGAACTTGGTTGCCTTTACAAATCAACTAGACCCTATAATCACCAATACCTGTAATCAACAACAGTATGTTATGTTTAATTATGTGTCACTGGACTGCAGACTCCCTGACCCCCTCTGTTATTTGTTGTTGTCACAGTTTATTAGTATAATTGAGTTGTATGCTTTTTTCTTAGTGTGTGTAATGTTGTATAATTTAAAAACTGTCAGAAATATAGAAAATATCCACGAGGTCCCAAATGTCATTACATTTTGTCTCTCAAGATGAAGTTTAATTTCATACACTACCAACAATCTTAACACAATGCATTGTTGACACTGACACCTGACTGACAGAGAGTCTGACCTGTTCTTGTGCTCCTGCTCCACACGCTCCTGCTCCTCCTTCTCGCGTTGCTCTCGGGCTTGTCTGCGTTTCTCCGCTAGGACGCGAGCAGCCTCCTCTGGGTCGTTGGTGCCTGCTGACGGCTTGCTGGCCGGTGCAGCTGAGGTGGAGGCACTGGCAGCTGCAGCAGAAGGGGCAAGATTACTGATGGAGGTTGCTGCAGGAGAAGTAGCCATGGCAGCCAGCTCTACACTCGGCACATCTGGAGAAGCTGCTGACACACAGGGTGAGCTGAAGGAAGGAGGTGTAACCGGTGCTGAGGACACCATGATGGCAGGAACATTACTGGAGTCTGTAACAAAGAGAAGACAAGTGACGCATCCAGGTGCTGCAACCCATGTTACTGAGAATTACATTAAGATTCAGAGACGCAGGTCTGGAAATTGTAGATTTGTAGAGGTGGCCACAGTATTTTTCTTCCTGTCAGGCTGCGTCCACCCCCCTAAGCAGACCGTCAAGAGGGCAGCCTGTACGTAGCCTGATAAACCAAACCCAGGGCAAAACCAAATTGCAAAAAATGACTAAATCAAACTGAAACTGTAAACACCAAAATCACCCCTTGACTGCTGGCACACACACTCTCTGTAGTGTGTAAAATTACGCTGCAATATCGACCAAAATCTCCAGGTCACCTTGACATTTAGATACGGTCTCCATGGCAACAGCACTCACTTTTCTCCTCTTGCATGTCAGGTTGCTGGGGTTCGTGGCTTGTTTCCACAGCGATCGCAGTGACCGTCTGGGGCTGTACTCTGGCAGGCGTCTGGGCCCGTTTGGGTCGAGTTTTGGTGCCAGGAGGAGGTGTCTTCTTGCCTGTCGGGGTCTTGGAGGATGCCGCCTTTGCTACAGGCACCAAGGGGGACAAGGGCCGACTTCTGGGAGCGGCAGGTGATGGAGGTCTGTTTTTGGGCTTCAGAGTGCTGAGGAGCAGAGAAGAGGTGGTAGTAAAGGTGAAATATGAGCAGGAGAGAGATGAGAAAAAATCGAAGAGAAGGGCGAGTGAGTTGGCGTCCCTGGAGTTGAGATTTCATAGCAGGAAGGTGATGTGGTTCACTGTGCAGCACATAAAGCCCATAACTAGGTCAAGAGGAAGATGGAAGTGACTCGATCTGAAATGTGAGAGGAGGGGGAGGCCAGTTTTTCTTCCTGTGCATCACTGAGGAAAACCCCATTCTGTCTGTGAGCTTCTCACTCTTACACAAACAGACCTGCTGCTGACAGACCACTGGCTGAACGCCACCCAGCTGAGTCTCTTTTAGTAGTTAGATTGTAGTGCTGTGAACCATCTGTCAGACATTAAATTGCTCCAAGGATAGGCAAATTTGACATTTTTCTGGCTAAAAACAAATGATGGGATATATTGATCTACCTGGTCTCTGGCCTGGACCTCTGGATCGTGGTGGTGGGTGATGTCGCCTGCTTCTTCTTCTGTACTTTCTCACTTGTGAGAGCATTCTTCTCTTTTTCATTCTCCCTCTCCTTGTCTTTCTTTTCTTTCTTCTTTTTATCCAACTGGAAGAAAGAGGTGACACAAACAATCAGTTATTATCTGAGGCAAAGGCTGAAAAACATCTTTAAAACTGGCATGACAGTTTATTTTATTTTGCATGTTATTTAATATTTTATGTGTGAAATCATAGCTGTGTATTATGATTTTTTCAAACATTTAAACCTGCATTTAGTAAACTGAACAGGAGCATTCATTACATGTTGATATGATTCTAATAAAGGCCAAATAGCTGAGCTTAAAGTGCTACAGCAAAATGCTTTGAGAAACGCTCAATAATTTTATATTTTTTCTGGTCATTAAAGATCCAGAGATGATGGATAAAGCATAAATTCACAGCAGGTTTGAGCTCTGGTATGTGTACATGAGGGTGATAATCTATACAGTTTGTATCAACTGCGTACCGGGGTGGAGTGTCGTCGGCGCTGGTGCTGGGTGATGTCCGGTGTGCTGGCGGAGGAGACCCTCCAGCGCTCAGCAGCGTTCTGGTGTGGGTGGTGATGGGAGCAGGCATTCAGCAGGCTGGCAGAGGCTGAACGGGAGCAGTGGTGAGAGTCTGAGCGACACATAAACATGTAGAGAGCGGTGGCAGGGCCGAGGTCAGAGCACCCCCCAACACACAAAATGTGCAGTGTGAGAAAAAACCCCTCACTGAGGCCACACAACATGCTACAAGACAGTGATTCAGATCCAGCAGTAATGATATCTGAGGAGGGGCTTTCATTTTTTTGTTTTTGCTCTAATCTCATTGATTTCACTCACAAACATAAGCATCTTTTATTGTTATCCATTATGTCTTTTGTGGTTTTATTCTTCACAGCAGTAATGATCAATTAAAGTAATTTAAATGAAGAAAAAGGCAAATATTTGCTTGAGATTCTTTATATCATTGTAAATCAGATATCTTTGGGTTTGGGACTGTTGTTTACACAAAGTAAGTCCTCTGAAGATCTTGGGACATGAGGAACTGGACTAAATGGTTAAGCGATGAATCAGAGAGAGACTAACTGATAGTGATGATACTCACCTTCTCTTCAAACCAAACATCGCCACAGGCTTACAGTGAAAAACGTGATTAAATCCAGTGGCTTGAAAAATTCTTCATACCCCTTCAAGTTTTGCACACTAAATTGTAATGTGGATTTAATTTTACAAAAACATCTCTCGACTCTGGGAAAACCAGGCATGCCTTTTTCACTATTTTCTGACATTATAACAACAGACAGATGAATCAATAATGAAAATAACTGTTGAGGAAACAATTTCACCACAAGGTCTATTTCTATTTTATTTTTCTGAACATTTTAAAAACCTTGAAGATCATGTGATATGATCAAAAGCTCCAGATCAGCCGCTAAACTGACCTTGTGGTGTGAGCGTTTCCCCAAGTGCTGTGTCTAAAGTCAGACTTTGAACAGTATTACCACAAGGTTATAAATAAAAATGCAGACAGAAACAGAGAGAAAGAAAAAAGCTTACGTTCTCTGTTATTTAGTACTGAATGTTATGGGACAAACAAGGAAACCTGAGCTAAAGGTGACCAGAGAAGGAGGGTGGGTGCACTGTAAGCAGAAAGAGCTGGTTGGGGTCTCACACTCACGAGAGTCAGTGTTGTTGAGGAGAGTGGCGGCGCTACGACTGCGGGCCAGAAAGGACAACGTCGGGGTCATGAGCCTCTCCACGATCCGGCTCTCCCATGGGCTCAGGCGCAGACTGCGGGCTGACACAAGAGGGCACTGTAAGTGTCAGGCTAATTTGCGAGCACACATACTGCACACACGAACACACGAGTAAATAATACACAACTGCATATCTCCTGCACACACTTACACTGTTGAACAATCACACTGCAGGAGAGGTACCACTCTTTGTTGAAGATACACATTCACACACCTACGCTGAGCACAGTCTGCCTCCATCTGATGCATAAGAGTTTTTACCCTCATGATTTCTATGGACATCAGGAGGTGCAGTCAAGGAAACAAACTGTAGTCAGAGCAATCTAACTGACAAATTTGGCAGTATGCTCCTTTTCTATTTATTCATGACATTCTTAAGTTAAAAAGTAGGGACTCTGGCTAGTTTACCTACAGTACAGTAGTTTTTAACTTACTCTAGGCTTGTAGGGCTAGTTTGACTATAAAAGAGTCATTACAATGTCACATACTTTAAACTTTTTAAGCAGGAATCCTCTGATAGATTAACATTTATTTTCTGTGATGAGTTACATGTTCATGTATTTCCTTAGTTGGAATTTTTAACTACTTTTGCTACTTAGGAACCATTCGCCATTTTTGAAATGGGAGCAAGGACGTCCGTTTTTAAGCGCACTTGCAACTTCAGCTTAAGTTGAATTTCAAGAACAGCATGGATTTGACTTGAAAACACAACCTCACACAATCTATATTCAAAGGTAGCATGAAACCAAACTGAGCATCAGTCTTCTCAGCTCTGGCCATTGTTGTTTGTTTTGGTTGTGCACTAAGTAATTGTTGTTAGGTTCATCAGGGCAAAAACAAGAGCAGTCAAACAATCATATAGGTGGTAATTTGCCAGTTTAGCCATATTAGCTACCACTTTATGCAAAGGTCAAATTAAAGATAAGTGCAATCATAATGTTGCTATTGATTAGTTATTGCACAAAATAAATAAATTAAAAAACAGGAGTAGGCTATGCCTGTCTACTTCTAGGGCACTACTTTTTACAGCTCGACTTGGTTTTCTCTTACAAATACATTTGTCTAACCTGTGAGTTTGCTGAAAACCTGCCCGATCATCTGACAACTCGTATCCCTTGCCCAGTCGAACCTATTTTTTGCAATGTTGTCCACAGATCTCACAATTAACATGGCGGTTACAGAGGTAACAAAATCTAAATGCAGTCGCTGATGGCGCGAGGTTTCACTCATCCAATGAAAGTATTACTGCTACTACAAAATACTAAGTCAAACCCTTGTCTCGCCATCAGATATGATCAGACTCAAAGATATAGAAAATTCATACAAGATGAATGCCTGAACTTGAGCCTACATGTTACACCCAGTACCAAATATTAGATAACAACACACAGAGGAGCAAACCCAAGTTAATTTTCTTACTTACCACTCAAAAACACATCAGGCTGAAGCCAGTGTGGCTGTTTCCTGGACCTCACTCAACCCCAGTGTAGTGCCTGTCAGTTTCAGGCATTAATGCTGCTTGTCTAATAAGCTCTACACACGACTCTGACCTGAACAACTTCTGCTAAACAGTGTGTATCTGACTGTTACTGAGTGCTATGTGATGAAGACTGGCATCCAATAACAGCACAATATAATCTGATGCACCGTAATGATGGGTGGAAAAAAACAACACATAGACCATTAAACCATGAGTAAAGCAAACTCGTCACAGAATAAAGCTGCTATTTAGTCAGAGCTTGGTGCCATCTTCGACTCCAGCAGGA